AAGAGAAATCATAGTAAGTTTTACATTTTCTATGTTTTCACTGACCATTAAAGGCTTTTCGAAGAGTAAAATGTAGCAACAAGTTTACACTACAAAAGCTGAAATTATCACCCAGAAATCAGAAAAAACACTTCTATGCCTACAGACTGAGAAACCACAGTGAGAGACGCTGAAACACACTGGCAACACAGGGCACAGAAATGCTGCTTAGCTCTCCACCTTTCCACACTCCAGCACCCGATGTCACTCCTGCAGCCCCTGATTGCTCCCATTAGCGGTTAAGTACAATGGAGAGCTCTAGGTTGCACCGTGCAAGTTGAACAATGTTGGCAGCACTACTTTTAGGGAGGATCATGCTTTACAATTATCACCATGCCCTCAAGTAGCTCTTAAGGCACTGCTAATGCTTTCTTGGCTAATTAAATTAAGCTAACCTTGTATACATTTCTAAAATGTCTAACTTGTACACTGACATGATTTAAGAGTGTCTATTACACAATAAATTCTCGATCAACGCTTTTGATTTGTGCTTTGAGATGACTAAGAAAAATAATTTCAATTGCCAAAGAAGTGTTACAGCAATCACAACTCAGTGTCTGAAAACATTAGACATCAGTAATCAGACATCAGTAGATACAAAGTGCAAATTTAACCACTTATAGTCACAGGATCCTTGATGTTTTCGTAGTGTGAATGAAGTCCACTGAACCTATAAGCCTTCTGTTAAAATTCTGTGTCTCTGTAAAAGATTTTGATGAGCTTTTCTTGTCAGAATGCTTTAATATAAAGCTAGAACACTTCCCAAATTTTAATGCTCGGAAGATAAAAAATCTGTATTTTTATACACATATGTATAATTTGTATAACAACAGAATATATATTTATGTAAACATTGCTTGAGAATCTACTAAGTAGTGTGTAAATCAGTCCTGGAAACAGGAAGAAAACAAAGCCCAGTTTTTCCCCTCTGTATCCTCTCTATGCACTCTGCTATGACATTATCTCAGACAGTAAACTTCTTGGCTCCTTGATCCATTTAGTGAGGGATTTTGTTCATTTTAATCTGGCTTCTGGTAAGCAGACAGACACACATGTATTCATCTCCATCACTGACTGCATGGTCGCCAATCAATAATTCAAACCAGTTTACTTTTCAAAGCCTGACGTCATTGCTTTCTCCAAGCTGAGCGAGTACTACTGAGGGAATACACTGAACCAATAAAGGCATTTAGACTATTACAGTCCATTTCCACAAAACGTGTGTTGCCTCCAGATTCAGATCAAACAAAAAAGGACACTATTCACATATAACTCAGCAAAATATTGAAGCAGAAGACTAGAAACTTAAGTTCTTGGAAAAGGAGAGAGTCAAACCTATCCTTATAAGTGTATGCAAAAAACCCAAACAAATGGGGGAAAAAAAGCCACAAAAACAGTGTATCAGAAAAAGCCAAGTGGAAAAAATAAGAAGAAAATAGGAAATAGATACAGAAGAATTAGACAGCAAGTCCTATCCCCTCATTTAGTCTACTCAGCATCTTACAGGATGCCATTATGTCATTAACTCAGTTTTTGTTGCTAATAAGGAACAGACAGATGATCTTTTAAAATACATTCTGAAAGGTGGCTGCAAATATTCCTACAGAAGAGCAACTCTCAGGGAGTCCCAGTCAAAAGCTCGATGCAAGAAAGTTAAGTCATACATACTGCAAAGAAGAAGCGTCCCATCTCTGCCAGAGATCCAAACTCTAGCTGCCCATTAACCCGATTAACTGCTGGTAGCAAGGCTGGTTTCCTGATGTGACACCCAAAAGATCTAGAAAGGACAGACTGTTCCAGTCTACTAAAAAAAAAAAAAAAAAAAAAAAAAAAAAAAAAAAAAAAAAAAAACACAAAAAAAGCAAAAAAAAAAAAAAAACAAAAAAAAAAAAAAAAAACCCCAAAAAACATACAACTGCATGAAGACGATCCCAGCACGCTCTTTCTGAACACAGCCTCACTATCAGTCTCCCGACAGTCACTTGCAAAAGCAAAGGCTTTGTCTCCCTACTGCTATACTTATTCATGTCCTAATCACTGAGATCCTTCTCTGGCACTACTTCAAGAAGATTCAGAAGCTCAGAAAGACACTGTATTGCTGACAGTACTTACATCTGAAGAATAAAAGGAGTTGTTCAAAACCAAGTTTAAAATACAGTGAGATGTACATATTTTATAAAACACACTGGATGGGGGAAATAAGGAAAAAAACCTTCTTGGATAACTTCTGCTCATATATGGCAATTACATCTTAAAAGGAAAGAAAAAATCCACCTCAAACACATGAGCTGCCTTGTGGAGCAAAACAAGTTCATTCCCATGCACCAAAATTTACATTTAACTTTAGAAGAAATGCTCTTTTAGGTGTATGGGCAATATATTGAGAAGTATTTACAATATTTTACACTATTTCGCACAATCTCCTTTTCTCACACCATGCCAATAACATAATTTGAACATTTTAATGATTTGTAGTAAAAGAACACTGTTCATGAATTAAAAATACTTGGAAAGAAGCCCAAGCTAGTTTTCATAGTAGCAGTAAACTCCCTGAGAAGTAAGCCAGTAAGGGTTACTTCAAACTTTGCTTCACAAACCACAAGACCCACGATCTGAATAAACAGAAACTGCACACTAGAACAAGCAGAACAGCTTTTTACAGCTATGGTACTGCATCCCCAGGAGTCCACTGAAATTAAACAAGGAAGAAATAGGGAACAAGTAAAAGTACGATGGGGGAAGGGAAGAACTGGGAAATATGAAAGAACTGAAAGAGAAGCACAGAAGGTATAGGATATTTCATCAGTGATTTGTATTTGGTTTAGTATTTTAGACCAAATGGATGGGGTAAAAGGTTTTGTGAGAATTCCAGGTGACATCCTTCTCACATGCCTCTGGCTGCTGCTGCTGTTTTTCTACTTGGTTGATTAACTTCCTCCTTTGCATGGCAGGGACAGTTGATGCACCACTGTCAAACGCTCGGACCCTCAAATTTCACTTCCAAATGTGCATTGTTTTTATTGATTTTTATTGCTTTTATTGAAAGACCTTTAAAGCAATACGTGAAGTTTCATCAACCAAAGAAAAAGTCCTGCCTACAATTCCTCCTGTGGGAGGAATTTCTTCACAGACAGGATCATTAAACATTGGGAACGGACTGCCCAGGGAGGCAGTGGAGGCACCAGCCCTGGACCTGTTTAAGGAAAGACTGGATGTGGCACTCGGTGCCATGGTCCGGTTGACAAGGTGGTGATTGGTCATAGGTTGGACTCAATGATCTGAGGTCTTTTGCAACCTCACTGATTCTGTGTTTCTTCGATAATTAAAAACAAAAATTGCAGGTTTTGTCAACAGAGCTGTTACGAGACAAGGAAGAAAGGGGACTCCCGAATTCTTTCTTCCAGTTCCAATTTACCAAATGCTAATTCTTCAAATCGGGCTGTAGAATTTCACTTGCAGTTAGCGTGTCTAACCCAAGCAACCACAA